CACCATGTATGAAACCGGTTTCATCATGCACCCATTTCATAATCATTTTTCACTTACTCCATGCACCAATTTCATCATGTATGAAACCGGTTTCATGAATATTTTTTTCTATTACTGATTTTATGGATTTATTAATCTAATAACTTACGATTTTCATGAATCTTAGCAATAATAAACCGAGACACAATATATGAAAATCTAATTGTTTTTTGTACAAGTGGTGGGTATTGATGGAAACAAACCCCTATGGTACGGGAGAGCTCTGCATACATCATATCCCTAGACTCTATCGGTATGAGATTTACTGTGTTTGTTTGGTTTGATTTACACTCAAAAAACATATTTTAAAAGATATTTTACAACTCTGTACTTTTAAATGTGCACTTTTAAAGTATGTTTCACAAAACAGGAACCGAACAAAACATGCAACTTGCTCTTTACAATTTATTGGCTATAGATATTGAAATATGACGTCAAAAGTCGACACGAGATCCCACATTTCGTTTGTGTCGTAGACACACTTGTTTGGGTCTCTTCCATTACAGAATTTTATATATTTATGTATTGACAGATCTTAATGATAATCTATGGCATCAGCAGTATAAAAAACATAATTTAAAACTAAATCGTAGTTGATCTACAGATCAAAAAGTTCCACAACATCCTTATCATATTTTTAAAGAAAGAAACGCTTTAAAAATTCTAAAATAAAACGACCACATCCATTGAGACAAAAAATAACTGAAACAAGTTAGTGGAATTAATATCCAAGAACTCCCCCATGAAATAATAAGAAAGCAAGCGGGTAAATTGCGTGAAAAAGTGACGTATTTTAACTTGATTCCTATTTAGAGTAACGTACTTTCAAAACTTTCATTTTGGTAGCTAAGATGTACAGTTTTAAACATTTAATTACCCGAGTAACCGGTTGAAGCATTAACCGATTATAATGCTGATGTGGCGAGTGATGTGGTATCCAACTCAGTATTATTTGCTGACGTGGTTAGTGACATAGATTTTTTTTAATCTAAAATTAGTTTTCAATCGGTTACCCGGATACTTAAATGTTAAAAACTTTACATCTTAGATATCAAAATGAAAGTTTTGAAAATACGTTACCTAAAATAAAAATCAAGTTAAAGTATGTTGCTTTTTTATGCAATTTGCTCCAAACAAATAAGGGTTCTAAACAGTAGATACAAAATGAAACTTCCGGAAGTATTTTTTTCTAAAATAATAATTAAAATAAAATATATTTTATTTTGATACAATTGCTCTTGGAAAAAGATATATGCAAAACATTTCAATAGCATTTTTTAAGTAAAACCAATATCGAAAAATTTAAGGGTGCTTGGATTGCTTATAAAACAACTTATTGACTTATTCCGATGTGGTACCGGTAATAAGCATTTTTGAGTGTTTGGATAAACAACTTATATCGGTGTCAAACCGGTAATAAGAAGTTTTTGAAGAAGTTAAACCCTTCTGACTTATAATAAATTGATAAATGTTTTTATAAAAAATGATAAGTTGTTTCATATAAACAATTCCAAACACTAATAATAAAATAATAACTTTTATTGCGTGACGTTTAAATTTTGAAACTGAACTGAAAGTAAAGTTTACCTAAAAACTAATAACTTTTATTTGAAAATCTAGAACAAATTACAAAAATGGTCCCTCAACTATATGTCAACTTACATTTTTTTACCATCATAGTTTCAAACTCACAAATAAAGTACTAAATTGTGATTTTGGTTACAAAACCATCCAAAACCAGCGTTGCCACCCATTAACATAGGCCTTGTGAGGTTATGCCTTTTTTGAGGGTAATTTAGTCATTCTTATCATCTTGTTCAGAAATATAACCTTCACATATCACCGCTTCAAGAGGGAAAACCGTAGCATGAACATGATCGATACCTCTACTATATGCACCATATTCTGCACCGTATTACTAAGTTGGACAAAGAAAACCTGGTTGATGATATATATTTGTGTTCATGGATCTTAGCGATCTGTGTTCAACACTTTTTAAGGATCCGTGTTCTTTGAATCTCTGCAATTCATGATGATTAAACAAGGCACGATAACCATTGAGAATGAAGAAGGTGCTTACACTACATTTCGACCCTTTTAAAAGCGCAAGTTGGTATCTGTGATGTTAAACATAAACTGTTAAATTGAAGGGTTTTCATCATCAGAATTTTAGGTCAAAACTGTATTTGCAATGAATATGAAACAAAAACCTAAAAAATGTTAAAACTTTTGTTTTATGGTAATAAAAAAACCAAGTGAGATGTGGTGGAGCTCAACTAGGCTACTTCCCTTTTGAGTTTTGCAAGTGCAAGTGTAAGTGCAATATACAACATCAACACCCCCATCATCATAAAGGAAAAGGGAGAAAGATAAGATAAGAAATATTAACATATTTAGTTTCATATAAAATGATTATTAAATTATAAATATCGAAAAGAATCGATTCAGTTACTTATTTAATAGATTCTTGAATGTTTTAAGTCGATACAGTATCCACGAACTACTCTCGGAAACATATAAAAGATTTCCCCTTTTTAAAAACCCGAGAACTGCATTCAAGGAAACCAGTTTTTTGTCAGCTGATTTCCGTGATGCAAGGTGTTGACCATTAAAACAAATATCATATTAGGGTTATATCAAATGAGGGTAGATTAATAACTTTCAAGTTTGTCTGTCTCATCATGTGATTTCTCTTCGACCTATTTTGGTAGAACAAAAAAAAAAACCTTTTTTCGTCCCACCCTGTTCCAGTCCTTGTTCCTGTTCCATGTCGTGCCAAATATAAGACGGTGGATCTTGTCATGTCGAGTCCAGTCCCGTGTACCAAACGCATTCTGACAGATATATGAAGAAAAAATCATTAGATATACAAAGTATAGCATTCAATCTTCAGGTACAAAGATTTCAATAGATAAAAGGCATTTTTACTATTGCAATGGCGTCTTGCTTTACTATTGCAATGGTGTCTTTCAGAGAACAATTACTAGCCACTTAGCTCATAGCCTTGGTACTGAAACCTATGTTGAAGATAAGGGTAGAAATGATGATGACGCTACGATGGTGGTGTGGTGGTGACTCGTGGATGTTGATGGAAATGCGGTCGATTATTCTGTTAGCCGAGTACTCTATTGTCGAGTTAGCAACCCAAATAGAAACAAGACCTTTCAATATGGTCTTTTCTGAATCATAGAATTCCAATGACATAAAAAATGGGGGAGTGGAACAATAATCAAGAAATCTTGATTCCTACAGGCCTCTTTTCGTAATGACGAATAGACCATTTTCATCTAGGTTCAACCATCATAGGGTTCAATGACCACACCCATTTGTGATCCATAGGCCATGTGCACCGCACCCTCGTTCATTCCTTTTGTGTTCGGTCATTTCTGTTATGGTTGGTCTAGTTTCAATTGACAGGGTCTATTTTTCTGCATAAATGAGACATTGCATGATATAAGGTGCATCAATGTTGTAAAATACTTACCCTGCAACATTCAGTTAGATAATATGGTCACACCAAGTAATAAACATAATCTGTGCATTTTGGAAGCAATTTTGGGAAGAATCCAACAACGAGAAACGCCTTAAATTAGAATAGGCTACAAATGACACCGTCATTTGAAATTAACAAAATGGGTAAAAACATCTTACACCTCCGAACATAAATAGCATCATTTCCATTTGCTCATCTCTCTCCCCATCTATGGTGCCTAACAAATTTAAGAGAGAGAGAGGAATCGTTTGCATATGAAAAATAAATCGACAACTTGGGTTGAATGGAAGAGAAAGCAAACACTAACAACACTACCAAAGGCCGTTACTTGTTGTGCGTGTGCTCATATACAGTTTACATAACAGCGACCCATAAAAGTTCTGCATCCTACACGTTTTTATGGTTAGAATCCTATCTTTCCATCATACACCATATTCTTCAAGGATCAATTGAGTTGTGGAGATAGAATCCTAGATATTATGTAAGGCTGGAGTTATCTCTTAATCAGTCAGAAGTGCAACCGGCCAGGAGTTATAGGTTGGAAGATGGAAGACTGAACACCTATTAAGCGCTTAATTTCTCGTAACTACCAAACAAAATCAACATAACCAATTCATCAAACCCTACTCCTAATCAACTCTAATACCAAAATCAGCATGAACATGAGGTTTGAACTTTTAGTTTTCTCAACAATTTATTTTTATTTAATAAACTTAATACTTCCTTAAACAAATATCTTTAAAGAACCCTGAACTTATAATCTAAGAGTTGTAGAGATGAACTAATACCATTAGATTAAAGGCCATTTGGTGATCTGGACTAATATTATTTAGATTAAATGTATATAAATCACACCATGCAACTATGCAACAACACATGCCTAGTACTCCTAAACAAAGGCCAGCTAAAAAGAAACATTATATATATATATATATATATGTGTGTGTGTGTGTGTGTGTGTGAGAGATATAGATACACAATTATAGCATATGGCATAGGCAGCTTAAAAAATTCAGAATCTCCACTTGAACCCCTTCATCTGTGTGTCAAAGTTCTTCAACACACAGTAGCACCATGTGATGAGCACAGCAAAAAGTGGATTCTATTTGAGCACCATGTTAAAAGAACAAAATTTGGGCTTAGCATCTAATGCTATCCCAACCTCAAACTAAAACCCACCCACACAAAAGTTATTGAGGAGTAAATAATACCAATTAAAGTTGCAATAATTCTATCTTGGAAGATATATTGTATCGTGACTTTTTCCTTTTTGACTAAATAGTAAATATGATGTTAAAATAAATCTAATTACCTGGAGTTTTTTTGATCTTCAACATTTCCTTTAATTTGAATACAAGCAGACATCCCAAACACCATATCACCATTGATGAATCAGGCCATCACTCAAGCCAACAGCATTCTTGCTTCCACTTTATGATAGTGAATGGGTAAATTAGACAATTCACAATATATTGCAATCTCATGTGATGGTAGAGTTAAATAGTAAATAAATAAGCAAAAATGAAAGGTCATACCGAATAGGAATGTCGGAAACCAGAGGGAAAACAAGAACAGATGCACAGAATCAGTTTGCATTTGCAGGGAAAAAAGTCGCTATTCATTTCAAAGCTTCCCTCTACATCAACTTTACACGATTAATAAACTCCCACTTTGGCTTTCTACTTTGCCCCTATATTGTTCTTTCTTTACTTTAAGCCCTTGCTATTATTAGGACAGCATCAATGCTCCTGCCCAGTGGATGGCCCTAAATACTCATTTCACTTGATCATTTTAATCATGTTTTTTTTATCATGGCATAAATGTGATTTCTTCTATCAATCAAACATTACAAAATTCGTTATTGTTCCAAAGAGAGATTTGTTTGGGACTTCCTTTATTCTTACTTTGATTTTCAACGATTCATGTTTAAACACCTACGTAGATGATGCCATTCGATGACTAAATGGCTAAACAATGGTCTTCTAGTGACTGGTTGAACCGAAATAGTGAGCCTAGTCTTCTAACCCATTAGAGGCATGCCCATGTTTGATCTGACATTCAATGGACTCTGATACGTTTGGAATACAATGGACATAAGATACCTGTAGACATATGGTATTCTCCCAGATCATGACCACTCCAACTGTCCAACTGTCTAATGGTCCAGATATAGGAAGTTAAAATGCAATTGAGACAGGTGCATGGAAAAGCAAGCCCATTGTGTTAAGAATGATAGAATATAGGAAATTAAAAATGTGATATATTATAGTCTAATAATTTCAAGAAACCTGAGGTGAAGGATCAAAGGGGATCAGAGAGTTCCTCCTTTCAACAATCCTAACATTTGTTCAGAATTCCATGATACCAATATGTTTAAAGGAGAAACTACATATTTCAATCCAAGCTAGCTTCATTAACATGACCATCATGAGCATGTCGAGTGCAGAAGTGTTTGGGCTTTTGGTTTCTCTTTGCAACTTGTTTCAAGGATTATCATTTAATACTACACTAATCTCACTGAAGCTTGTTTTGAGGCACAAAAATGGCATTGAAGCCTAAGAAAGTAATTTTAATTCATTGGCATGACTCTCATTCCCCACTTCTTGCTGCTGGAGATGAGTTGCATGATCATCCATGCAGCCTTAATTGGTCGCTATAAAGAAAAAGATCTAAAAGCAAGCATCAAATGATGAGAGAGAGAGAAAGAGAGGATGCCAAACTGATAAAGGGAAGAGAAACTCCAAAGAGATTTCAATAAATAATGGAGTAAAAGTGAGTGTTGGAATACTTTGAAGGAAAAAGGATGGGACCCACCATAGAGGCTAGGCCTACATCAGATTCTTTTGATATCCTCAGATTTTCTTGACTATACTTGTATATATACCTGTGTTATGCAGTTAAGAAAACTCAAGCTAAAACTAAAACAAGTTCCTTAACTTCCTCTACCTTCAAACATTCTCATTCTCTCTATAGTGAACAGTCCACCAACAAAAGAAAAGCATATAGACATCATAACCACTTGGCCAATGGCCATGTCCCTCCACTCTGTGGTTCCAACTCCTGAAGATAGCACTGCTACTACTACTATTTCAAATCCCATGGAAATGGTGAAACCTCATCATGATTACTCTTCTTATCTCGCTTACCCAGTTCAGCCCCATGCCCATTCACAGTCCTTTCTACAGCTGGCCTTATACCCCATAACTTTAAAGGTTTATCTCTCTCTCTCTACACATGTACATACTATAGACACTCCAAACTATAATTAACATGAGTTTGAGAGAAAAACTTGTGTTTTTCTATGTTTTCTTTAAGTAACACAAATGTTGAGCATAAGTACTGCAACATACAAAAGAAGTCGTGTTGTTTTTCTGATTTTCTCACTTATTTGCAGTTTGAAGATGTTGTTTATAAAGTTAAGCTTGAGAAAAAAGGTACATGCTGCGGAGGAGCAGCAAGCACAAAGGAAAAGACTATACTGAATGGGGTGACAGGTAAGGTTTGCCCAGGAGAGATACTGGCAATGCTAGGTCCATCAGGCAGTGGTAAAACCACCCTCCTCACGGCTCTCGGAGGACGCCTTACCGGGAAACTATCAGGAAAGATCACATACAACAGTCGCCCATTTTCTGGTTCTATGAAAAGGCGAACAGGATTCGTGACCCAAGAAGATGTTCTTTATCCTCATCTCACTGTGACTGAAACACTCTTATTCACTGCTATGCTAAGGCTACCAAAAAGCCTGACTCAAGATGATAAAGTCCAACATGTGGAGCGAGTTATAAGCGAGTTGGGGCTAACTCGGTGCCAGAACAGCATGATAGGTGGCCCACTATTTAGAGGTATTTCAGGCGGGGAGAAAAAGAGGGTGAGCATTGGTCAAGAGATGCTAATCAACCCAAGTTTGCTGTTGTTGGATGAGCCCACCTCTGGTCTAGACTCCACAACTGCCCAGCGGATTCTAACTACAATTAAACGGCTTGCTAGTGGAGGCCGAACAGTGGTCACAACAATTCATCAGCCATCTAGCCGGCTCTACCACATGTTCGATAAATTAGTCTTGCTGTCTGAGGGCTCCCCAATCTACTATGGTCCTGCATCTACAGCTTTGGAGTATTTCTCATCCATCGGGTTTTCAACATCCATCACTGTGAACCCAGCTGATCTTCTACTAGATCTTGCTAATGGTAAATTATCTATCTTGTAAATCAATTCACTGCTTCTGTTTTATGTTTAGTTCTTATAACACGTGAATAGTTTCCTTTAACATATGATGCAGTGCGACCTTTCCTTTTTCCATATCATTCACTCTTCTTTCCCTAGATCATATCAGGTAGATGTATCAAGTTCTGTACAGAAAGTGGGTGTTCATAATTGTACCTTTGAATAAATGAAGAAAAGTAAGACCCCACCTGTACTCCATTATACTACTGCATCGATAGATTAACAAAGTATAAAGCCACCTTCATCATTATTAAGCATGTTATTTTCACAAATTGGCAGAATTAAATCTATTTGTAAGCATTTATTAGCTACTCAAGAATTTATGAAAAACTAAATGACAGGAATTGCACCTGATTCCATGCATGAATACGATCAAGGTGAAAACACAGAGCAAGAGCGGAAGTTAGTAAGGCAACAACTCGTTACTTCTTATGAAACAAAGATTTCAACAAGACTGAAAGTTGATTTATGCAGTCTAGATGTTAGCAACCATAACCATGCAAAAGAAGCTTTGACAAGTAAGTCGCATTAAAAATATCGGTATGGCTAGTAGATGGCACAATTTGCCTAAACTCTTAACGTTTTGGGGTTCTGAACGGTGCAGGAAACCATATGAAATCAGAACAATGGTGCACAAGCTGGTGGTATCAGTTTAAGGTGCTACTTCTCAGGGGGGTGAGGGAAAGAAGATTTGAAGCCTTCAATAGGCTTCGAATATTCCAAGTAATAAGCGTTGCTGTCCTTGCCGGACTCCTATGGTGGCACACCCCGACATCCCATATTGAAGATCGTGTAAGCATTATAATCCTGAAAACTGTATCTGCTCGACACGATTAACAGGGCAAGTTGGGAAAATAAGAAGTGCCTTAAAGTTAGTGGTGATTGGTGAATACTAAAACTATTTTTATTCTTTCCTTGCAGATTGCAATGCTTTTCTTCTTCTCTGTTTTTTGGGGATTCTACCCGCTCTACAATGCAGTTTTTACTTTTCCCCAAGAAAGGAGAATGCTTATAAAAGAACGGTCATCTGGGATGTACCGTCTCTCCTCTTACTTCCTTGCAAGAACCATCGGAGACCTGCCACTCGAGCTTGCCCTCCCAACTGCCTTTACCTTCATACTCTATTGGATGGGTGGGCTGAAACCTGATCCAGCCACGTTTGTCCTTTCCCTACTTGTTGTACTCTATAATGTCCTTGTAGCCCAAAGTCTTGGATTAGCCATCGGTGCCATACTTATGGATGTCAAACAAGCCACAACTTTGGCCTCGGTTACAACCCTGGTTTTCCTTATTGCCGGAGGATATTATATACAACAGATCCCTCCATTCATAGTATGGCTAAAGTATTTGAGCTATAGCTACTACTGTTTCAAGCTTCTTCTTGGGGTTCAGTATAATAAGAATGACTTGTATGAATGCTCAAAAGGGGTCTACTGCCATGTTGCAGATTTTCCAGCTGTCAGATCAGTGGGATTAAATAATCTACCGATAGATTTGTTGATTATGGCACTGATGCTGATTGGTTACCGACTCGTTGCTTATATGGCATTGCAGAAGGTTCGGTGAAGTAAGTTTACTTGAGGACCAATTTTCTTGGAGGAATGCTATTTGAAGAGATTTGCCATTTTGTCGGAATAGAAATAATATTAGATTAGATCCCATATTGCTACAACTTTGATCATTTTCCAGAGATGTAGATGTATCACCTCCCTTGTGGGAAATATTTACATATACCTAACTCAGCAATTTGAATTCAAGGATAAAAAAGAATCCTCGATGGATTTATATTACAAATATGATGTTCCGAATGACTTTAAGTTGTTTTCAGGCCATAACGTATCAACTTGTAACTTTATGGTCTTAAACCACTTACCTTGATGCCGATAACTATTCTGCAGAATCAGTTCTAGATGAGTGATAGGAATTTCAAAGTTCGAAGGCCCCTTCACACTAATAGGTTCCTGCAAATTTATCCATAACAAAAAAGAACATTCCTCAGGGTTTGAATCAATATCATGAGACTTGACAGCTACATCTATAGAACAGGATACATCATCAGAGAACATTATCTGCAGCATTTACAAGAATCTTCAGTCAGATGATGTCATCATGTAATCCAATAATGTACTATGTATGTGATTGGGAGAGAACCAAATCCAAGATGTAGAACAAACTCCATAAAAACAACATAAATAAAGATACCTAACTTTCAAACTGTTAAAATAACGAATGTAGAGTCTACTCATTGTTGCCCTCCCCCCTCCATCCCAAGATATACTTTAACTTTTGACGTACAAACTACGTTTCAAATTCAAATTTGATATCTAATATATGACAGTCAAAAATTTCATATTCATGGTAATTTGTTACTATAATTCATTTGTGCTTCAAAATGGCGTAGTTTAATTATTGTCAAAACTCCAGGCATGTCCTTTTTTTCCTGGATGGAAGTAAGGAAACATATAGATAACCACTTAAAGATTAAGTAGAGAATATGCATTTGAAACTTTATTTGGTCAGCCATAGACACATGTCCCTATCATTTCCTACTCTTATTGCATAACATGTCCACACAAGATCACTTCCAGATGACTGAATCTTTAATGGGAAAGATTTCGATAGCGTCTCCTGTGCAAGAGCATATGGGAATGGGACCTTCAAATGGGTTTAGCAAAGTCAGATTACAGGTTCCCTACTAGCGACTAACAAGTCTAAAGGAGCTATGCTCGAGAGCATTCCAGGTTTCTTCATTGTATTAGCAGTGTTAAGGGAATACAGATTCCCATTGGTTGTTCCTCCTGAGATATCAAGGTAGGCAAACTATAAGTCTTCACTCTCACACACCAGAAGTAGACAAAACAGGTCAGATAAAAGGATCTTATTTGGCTGAATTCTCAGGGTTTTCTTTATTTATAGCTTGATGTATTGTGCATTGCAAGTGGTAAGTCATGCATATTTTCTTAATAGTTTGACTTGTTACCTTATCGATTGCTCCAAAGCTCACTCTTCGCAATATTTGATTGATCACAATTCTATATATTCCATTTACTATAAAAGCTCCCAGAGAAGTCATTAGAGGGATCTTTCCTATCAAAATTGTTTAGTCGTAACAAGGTAGCCGTACTGGAAGGTGCGGCTGGACTACAATGGTGACACTGGGGCACCAATCATGATGTTAGAGCCTTGGGTTAGGAATATCGGACAAGGACATGAGAGTTTTTTTTTTTAAGTATATAATATTTATATACGCCAAATGCAACAAATAAACTCACACACCCTCCTCACCTTTGGTGAGGTTTGAACCCCTGACTTCCTGGGAGGCTAAAGACTATGATACCGCTAGGCCAAAGGCCCTTTGGTAGGACATGAGAGTTTTGTTTCCATTAGTGGGACCTAAATGTCAGAAGAGGGTGTTGAATTTGGTAACCCTTCCTTGTTCATCTAACATATAAAGAGTGGCTTTTATCTCCATCAAGCCTACCAAACAACCACCCATTTTCAAAACCAATATCACTCAATGGAACAAAACTGAACGATGTCATACAGCTCGACTACACTTCACGAATACCAAACCACTTAAATGTAGATGTATTTATTAATTGGCAAAAGTACTACAATTAATAAGTGCAGATATAATTCATTTTAGTTGTAAACATCTTCCTTGTATTTTTCTTTTTCTTTTTTTTTGCTTCTAAATTCTCGAGAAAGTAATGAACGTGGTTGCAAAATGAGTTTGAGGGCCTTAGATGTTATCATTCTGCCAAAATTTCCCGAATCTTTTGGTATTACCTAGAATGTAACATGGAGCATTTTGCAAGTGGGGATGACTTGAAATTTTCAGAAAACTACGTGTTGAGGCAATTCTTTTCTGCTTTATTATTCTTGTAATAACATGACACAACTTTGGCCAACCCTAAATTTGGACAAGCACTATCACTATTTTCCTTCATCAAGAAGTAATAGAGGTCAAAGTTAAGTGTATAGACAATGCAGAGGAGAATTAAGTTTGAGATTTAGATCAAACTCTACATATCGACATCATATGTCATAACAACACGAGACTTACTTATCAAATTTATAGCATATCTAATATAGGCCTATGAATAACCATTAAAGGTTGAACTAGAGAATATTTATAGGCTTCACTGAAGTGTACTTTGGCCAACCACAGAAACATGCATTTTTATTTAATATCACACTAGATCTTATGTCGTTCCCCAATCTCCAAAAGGATGGTGGTCTTGATTTCCTGTCCAAGAATATATGGCACCTTTAGATTAGGCAAACAAAGTCAAGCTCCTGGTTCCCTATGACTGACTACAAAGTCTAAAGGAGCTAAACACAAGTAGCATTTCTGGTTTCATTCAGTGAATGAGCATAATTTGAGGAATATAAACCTGCCTTGGTTAGGTTCTGTCTGGACCAGCAAGTTAGCCCCAGCATAAATCTGGATCTCCCACACCCACCAATCTAAAATTAAAGCATGTGGAGTGACCTAAAAACCAAAGAAATAAGATATAAAACTGAAAAAGAAAACTAAGAAATATAGAAACTATAATGTCAATCTTTGTGTAATGATGTTTCGTTCTGTCCTTGAGCAAGCGAGACCTTAGATTCTGTGTATCGCTAACTACTCTTGTTTGTTGTTCTCGCAGTTTTCCTTACCTGAAGCTTGTTGCCAATTCACTTACAATCACCATAGGTTAATAGTTTCCTACATCATTTTGTTAACTGAAAAGTGGAAATCTAATATTAGATCTCTAATACATTATGCAATCTAATTCCGTATAAGTCAACAATTCTTAAAGTCAGAAATAGAAATGATTTTATGCTGAATGGATCTTTCATTCTGTTCTTCCATTCTTGCTTTAAGAAACTTATTCATCAATATTGGAGATAAAGTTACTTCAGACAATATCAAACCAGTCAGCAATAATGAAAAATGAAATTTCTCCCTAGCCAAGGGAATAATAGTAACAAAGGCCAGAAGAATACGCATAGACATACCACATAATAGAAGTATTACCTATAGCACTATAAACTACAAATGGGACACTCAAGTCAAGAGTGCAAGTGAGAATGAATGATAAAGAATTAATAAAGGAAAAAGAAATGGGTACTGGCTCTTGCAAAGATTTTCAGTATCAGTCATGAACTTCAGTTGTTATAAAATCATAGGGTACGATTTTCTTTCATGTGGATATTGAGGGATCTTTGTCTTTCTACTCTTCCTAAAGTAAATATATGCATGCTTGATACTTGCATCAGCTTATAATGTAGAAAAAATGAAAAGGAATCAATATATGAATTTACTAGTTCAAATATAAATATTGCAAGGGTTATACTTTTCATGAGTGGTTATATACATTTCTTTATGAATTAAGCACACCCCAATAAGTCAACATTTCCTATTTTAAGTGTTTATAAGCACGTCTGACTTAAGTATTCTTGTGCAACTAACAGTAGATTAGAAGTATCTAATAGTACAACCCAATTTAATAATCCACCTCTTTTCCCACTAAGCAACTTTTGGTGCTAAAATTCAATATAATCATCCACCATCCAAGTGTTGTCTCAACTCAACTAAAGTCTTTGTCACAAACACAGCCAATAAAGAACAAAAGAAAACAAATTGCAAATGCATTTTATGGATGACCAAACAAACAGCTACTCAACAGAAAACGAAATTGTAAAAAAAAAAACAATCATCTTAAAATCACAACCGAATATGTATTCCTTCCAGATAGAAATTTATGTTGCAAAAATTTCCAAAACAGATAAGAGTGTAAACCGTTGATGACATGTTATTGCCAAGTGCCAACAACAAAATCTCTAAATGGGCAAAACATCAAACAGTTAATAGGCAATTTTGTTAACGTTCACATGGGCATACTAATTAAGGCAAACTACGTATGATACCAAGACATGATTTACTCCGAATAAGGGGTTTTTGGCATCTTGAAAGACGTGCTTAATGAGATCATAAGTGGGTTTGATCAACGGCTCTTTGACATCATAAAATATACAATTGGGTTTGATCAACGGCTTTTTAACATCATGAATCGTCAAAAAAGAGATTTGTGCCAACTCGGTCAAGTAGCACAAGAAAGTTTGCTGGAATCCTCATCATTTCCTCTAATCTTTACGCACTTTCTTGTCTCCCAGAATAACAAATCCACTCTTTTGAACGTTCCTCTAAATCCTTCTCGCCCATAATTAACTTTTAAATTGATAACCTCATTACCGTATTTATCTCGTCGGTCCGAATCCGGTACAGACATATAGGACCGGTCCTATAACTACATTTGAGCCCTACACAAAACATTTTATAGTTATAGGAATTATAATTTTACATTACAAATTTCTTCCTTTCCTTAAAAATAACAGTTTTCACACCAATAATTGTAAAATTACAAGATGAACATCGTGATTTATAAAAACGTCTGGATTTGATCCCTTTTTAAGGACCATTATAAATTTCCGTTAAATGATGTGTTTTCGTTATTTTGTCGATTTTTTCCTTTCCACAATCAAAAACAACATGGACCAAAATTATAAAATCGATTTTGATTAGGTAAAATACAAAAAAATCAATAAAAGAACAAAAATGTCCCACATTTAGCGGATTTCTTTTGCGACCATTATAGGTAGGGATCAAATCTAGACGTTTTTATAAACCGCAATGGCTATTTTGTAATTTTTAAAACTATAAGGATAAAAAGTGTTATTTCCGACAAACTATAGGGACAAATTTGTAGCTTACTTTATTTCATATCAAGAATGTAAAAGCCTATTATATTTAATATTAATGACTGAATTTGGTAATTTTATAATTTAATAAAAATATAAGTACCTAATTAGCAAAACCATATTTTAGTTGTAAGACCAGAATTTCATGGTCATTTTGTAATTTAACAAAGTGCGAGGACCAAAAATGCGGAACCTTAAAAATGTGGTTTGAGGGTTGAATAGTGTGTAACCCAAAGTTAGAGGACTTGTTTTGCCACTTGGTGAGAACCCATTCTCAGCACCAACGGTGGACCAGAAGTGTTTAGATACGTTAGAAGGATACTCGTGCAATACAATAAAATATATCTTGATTTTTATCTTTTGTTTTATATTTTGGGTCAATCGATGTTATAATGTGATTTTGAAAAATAAAAGATGTTTTTATTTTTAAGTAAAATATAAATTTGAAGATATTATAAAATTTTGAAAAAAGTAAACGATATTAATATCAAATTAACTATTTAAAAGTTTTCGTTTTTATGTAATTTCTTTAATTCAATTTTTTTTTTGTAATTTAATTGAAGTGTAAAAACGAACTAATTTATTTTTGGTTTAATAAGATAATTTTTTTAAGATAGTAATTAAGTATTTTGTTAGAATTCAATAGTTATCTTAATATATTTTAAATTTTTTATATTTAAAATGATGTTTATCATGTATATGATTATATTTATATGCAATAAGTTATATGAATTCAAACATGAAGTCTTAATAAGATGTACTAGTGCACATTCTACTTGTAATATTAAATTTTAAGTAATATACATCAATAAACAGTACCTTATACATAAAAATTTGTTTTTAAGAATTTTTGTCAAATGTTTTATAATATAATATAGATAACCTTAAATGAGAATTAAAGTTACAGTCTTCTGGTCTATTAAAAGAAAATTAATTTCATACTTATCAAAAGATTATGTTGAAACAAAAGGTTCGTTCTTTACGCCCGACCAAAACCCCTCTAGTTTTGCGAGAAACGAGAAATCGACCATGGAGCAAACTAGGGTTCGTTCAAAGAAAAAATGTTGATTCGTAAAAACCCGAAAATTGATCTAACTAAACGATGTTAAGGCATGTAATTTGTGTCATGTGTTAGTATTAGTTAATACTAAGAGTTTATGCGAAATAAATGGAATCGGCACGAAAACGATTAGATTTCAAGTAAAACAGAAGGAATCATGAAGAGGGAGACTGTCGGGGCGAATCAGTTGGTCCTGGGTCGCGGGTGAAGTGGTGTAGGGGGCGGATCTCAAATCTGCCACGCTTTTATGTTTCAATCGACTTGGGTCGGAGAAGTTGGAGCATGAACCAACCCGTGCCCGGTCCACCTGGATCATGGGCTTGGATCTATTTCTTGGGCCATTAGTATTTTCTTGTTAATTGATGCTATTGAGCTCATTGGGCTAAATTAAATACTTGGGTCAAATTCTATCTGAATCAACGATGTAAATGATAGAAATGATTGTTTTACTTTTAATTACAATGTTTTACTACATTAAGGGACTGTTTGGTAATTGCCGAATGGTTTGATGCAGAATGATTAAGAGGCTCTAATGATATAGTGCAAAATGAAATATAATTGTTTGGTAATTGTGTACAATAAAATTAGGGCTCTTAATGGTTAAGGGAGATACATGATACAAAATCATTCAGAGGGTTTTAGAACCATTAAAAGGCAGACTTTTTTTTTGCCAAACAAGATTCACATCTTAACGATTCAGAGGTTGCCTCTTAATAGAACTATTAAGAGGTAAACAAACAACCCCTAAGTCGTAATTAAACGGCCCCTAAATAGGATACACGCATTAGCCGCATGTATAGATATGTTTCCGAGTATGATTACGATGTTTGTTTGAGCATGCTAGTATGTTAGACGTCGTACGAAATGATTTAACACATAACATGTTATGTTTATGTCTAGGATGTTATTATACATGCTAAGCAAATTGCAAGTTTTACAGAATGATGAAATGAAATGGAAGGAAAGTGGCTATGTGCGTTGCGCTTATACCATGACGGAAAGAAAAGGGGGGATATGAAATAACCTTAGCGCCTTAGAGGATGCATCGGATGGACGGTCGGTAATCATCGATTATGAATGATATTCGGTACATGTACCAGAAGGGATACCTCCGATGCTGTACTAGTAAACAGTAGTCAAGACATTTGATCGAGCGCACCTCTGATTCTCTGAACTCGACTAGTTATGGTTGGAACCATGAAGCCTACACCACATCAAGAGCTTCTTAGATGGATTGTCTGCTTTCTTTAGCAACATTCCCGGGTCAATACTCGCCCAATTCGCAATCACCGAAGAGAAACTATAGTTTTTTGCAACTTTTACTTCTCTATTTTGAAGAAATTATCGGGAAACGGTTGGAGATCGTTCTATCAGATTCTGAGATCCCTTGTTGGTCATCGACAACAATAACGCTTTCAACTTCTAATGACTGCAATCTTTGACATGAAAGAAACGCGGGCTGTGAGTTATTGAAAGCACTCGCATTCCTGCTTGCCAACATCTTCAAGAATCTCTCCTTAAGGAAAGGTGAAACCATATCACAACTAATCAAAGCATCAAACGACTGAACCACGCCTCTTCTTTCAAGAACATCAAGAACCGACGATATGCATCCGACAATTAACTCTTTCTTGTCAACATCGTAATGATCCATCAGAAGGAATAAAAACTCCAAAAGATTTTGTGTCATATCGACGTATTTGGGTATGGAGTTTATCATCAATAAAATGGCAGGCTCGATGTTCATTATATTATCAACTTCTTCATGAAAGAAGAGCCAGTCGTAGAACAGGGCCAGCTTCACGTTAGCTTCCACATGACTCTTGGTACAGCATTTCAGTAACCAACCGATTACAGCCCATCTAGGAATCACACTCGATAAGATTATTTTATTAGAAGGGTGGTGTGCACAGCAGATAAAGCGAACAATATCAATAATAACAGTTTCGCTGTCGGGCACATTAAAAAATTTCCTGGCAAACCAAATTTGGTATCGGGTTTGACTTCCTAGTTTGACATGCGTAAGCAAGAACCGCAAATGAGCTTCCATCTCAGGAGTGATACGAAGTAAAAAGTAGCGGCTAGAAGTTCTTGATCGGTACAGCTGAGAAATATCTGAAAAACCAGATGTTTTGAAATTAGCAGGCAGCAATAAGAGGTCTTTCCAGATATCTTGAAATTCAGGCACATGAACTAAGTCTTGTAGAAGCCTAATCAAATCCCTTCCAATTTTCAAACACAAATGGAATTGCTCCCTGAAAACCCGAATACAAAATTCGATTTCTTTTTGCTTCAAGATTTCTATTTTCGAGTTCAGAGACACTCTACAATGATCAGCCAAGAGCCTGAGAAAGACATACAGGGCGCTTGATAAGATCAACGGTTGTTCATCCAGCAAGCAGTCCCATTTCGCCGAGATCAAACCAACCAACTCCGAACACAACCACAAATTCGCTTCACTAAAATCTCCACCACGAGTTTGCCTCAATAAAGCCACCAACAAACCATCTACTCCAACAGCCGATACATAGATCATTTCTGAAGTGACCCAGATTAACTGAACTTTCACATTCTCAACAAGCTTCGTGTATAACTCATTAACCATCCTAGTTAGTAAAGTTGTAAAGAAACTGTACCCATCAATTACGATGCCATGTAAGTGCTTAATATGAACTTTTGCCAAATGGGTTTCACTTAAGATACCATATAGAATAGCTCGGTTGAGATTTAAGTATTCAGTTTGCGTAGGAATCGTTAACGAAAATGGAGGCCTCAGTTGGGGTTCCAGAAGTTGAAAAGACTCTCTTAGTGACACATCAAACGAGTTATCAGCTTCATAGGTTGCTTTGTGAATCAATCTAGATGCCATCTACGTCAATTGGTAACAAAGTTGAACTCAGTCAAAACTAGCAGATGCAAATATCCCAAATTTCAACACTTTGAAAGAAATATCCATACAATAATTTTTCAATATGCATATAACAATTAACAAAAGCACTTAAAACATTTTCAAACAGATATATTATACATACCAACAATTTGCATGGATTTTAGTGAGATAGTAACTTCAATTCCCAAATTCTAAACACCACCAAGAATCCCAGAAATCCCTTTCAATCTTATCAAATTTCATGGACATGAAACAAATTCGAGGTTTCAGAATTCGACTGAAGCTAGTTAATTTCATCAAATGGGCAGCCTAACAGGGGAGGATTCTCAAGAGAGTAGCATAAGTTCATAAACCCTAACAAGTTTTAAAAAAAATTGACTTACTAAAGTTGCAGAAATCCAAAATCGAGGAGGTGAGCCGGTGAAGAACACAATCGAACAGTTGTGAATTGTGAATTCCCTGTTGAACGCCCCAGTTGTAACTTTTTTAGTCCGCCGACCGCCGTCCGCCGTCGTGAAGGAGAGTAGGCGAGGGAGACGTTGTGTACGGTGGGCCTGAAATAGAAAAAAATGAATAAAATCCAGAGTTGGCCCATTAACAGTTGGCCTCTGTTGCATCCGAAATTGCTAGAGGCCCATTTTTTATTACTCTGTTTATATTTTTTAGAGCAAAATGTGTGAAATTATTACTTTTACAAATTTTCTTATTATGGTATTTTATTTTAAATTTTTCTTATTATAGTAATGTACTTTAAAAATATTTGTTATTAGGGCATCGTACTTTCAAAAACTTATCAGTTACAACATTGGGTAACATTTTAAATTAAATTTACTTATTATACTAGGTTTCTTTGTCACTTCATCATCCATGTAAGCTGTCCACATGTACGATAGTGTTAACATGACATTTCTTATATAGCATTATACTTTCAAAATTACTTTATTATAACATCACCAATTTTATTACAGCATTGTACTTTCATTTTAATATTTTTATCACTTAAATTTAATAAAATATGTTCACTAAAAATATAATAAACATTATTTGAGATTATAATACCGTTTTTTTTTAATATTTTAGAAGGCAAGACACCCAAATCGATTTTTTTAGCATTAACATATTTGCAATACATGAAATTTAATCTTTTTTATCATTATGTAAGTTTTTTGTTAAATTAAATATTATATTTTTTAAATAAAAAAACACTCTCTTAATAGCGACATGGGTTCTAATTTTTTGGGGAAAAGCTTTTAGAGGAACTAGTAATAGAACAATGATGATGTTCAAATAATACCATGCCTTTGGAGCACATAGGATATCAAAACCACAATTAAGCCCATTATACCAATTGGCAACAATGGAGTCATGCTTTTTACTAAATGGGTGCATATTTAAAGTGGATCAAAAGGCTTATAAAGTTTTCGATGTGTTTTTAGTCAAATTCTTCTGTTTTAAATGATTTCTTTAAAGTTTTTTGGTTGATTTTTTGAGACTTTCGAGTATTTTTGGTGGATTTTGAGATTTTTTTCGGGTTTTTTGCCGGTTTTGAAGAACTTTTTTCAGTTTCTTGTTGATATTCCTTGTATTTTTTAAATATTCCCAGAGCACCCCTTTAAGGTTTAGCAAATGCACATTCATAATCGGGAAAAAAAATTATACTTGCAAAAATAAGTTGAACAGGCGCACGCTTAAGGACTCGCAAGTCTGCCCGGGTTGCAAAACAAAAAAGGTTCAAACTTGAAGTGAAGAAATTTATTCATTGACATAGGACTTGTAAAAATTTCTTTTGTTTGTTGTCCCGTCCCATCCAATCTGCATACCAAACGCACCCCAACAGAAGAAGCTAGTTGATTACTCTCACAGTTTGTTGTCAAAGAAAACAAGTTACAACACAGTCCTTTATGATCGATACTTCGAAAAATTCATATATTTCACTTAAATTGTTGACGATAAATCAAAAAGGCAAATCTGGCCTAAACAAATTTCAAAGTTCAGGTTCTTGTTTTTGACTTGATAATTTGGCAAAATTACTCCGTTGGCAGTTGCAGCAACTCTCGTATCCCTTGCGAAACCTGTGAGTGACACCAAAAACCTCATGTTAAATATCCAACTCCAATCAGACCATGTAGACTTCGCTCGCTTTCAAGTAAACCTACCGTCTTGATTTGGGCTTTTATTTGTGCAATGAGACGCGTGTATTCCTCGATTTGCCTACATAAAATAACCACAAACTATGAGCTTCCATCATTTCCTACTTATTCTTCCTTCAATATCTCTTGTATTTCTCGAAAAAGTGATTCGATTGAATTTCAATTGAACTCGGCCCGATATAAAATATTTATATACGACAAATAAGCTCACAGCACATCAGCTTTTGTGAGGTTGGAACCCTTGGACCTCTAGAAAGGTAGGGTCAAAGGCCCTTTACAGGTCGCATGAGCAAATAATTCTTCGCAATAATTCCAAACATCCTTATTGTTGGTTTTGATTATTTCGATTTATGATGTCATCATTGAAACACTTCATACAAGATACAACACAAAGATTCGAAAAAGTACCTTGCCAATTTTTCTTCCCTGGCAGGGATGATACTTAAAGCCTCGGACCAAGTGAGTTCTACATGAAATCCAAGCCCAACGTCTACAAATATGTGGCGTGTATCAGGTCTGCAGACATGAAGAGCTTTTGGCGTAAGAACGGAATCACTATATATTAAAAAGGAACAATTGTGAAAGAAGGAAGTTATTGGCCTCTTGATCCACAATGCCTTTTCATAAGCACCACCGGCATTTTGTTTTGAATGTTAACTAGAAACAGATTTCTCCCCCTGTTAGTTTTTCCCATTTTTGCTCAGTTAGATTGCTCAATGACTGTAAACTTTTTCAGTCAAATTACAAATATGCAAGCGACCTGGAAGTCTGATGGTTTTTATGCAGTAAAAAATAACACCTGAATATCGATATCTCTATGCATCTACCAAAACCAGGTTGGATAAGTCTCAAAACACATACACTTCAGCTTGTGCGTATACTTCAGACCCGAGATTGACCATTGACCTGAGACTTGTTACACTATTCTTCTCCAAATTCTCCAAATTTTTTCTCAGATCTGAGCTATAATAAATGGTATCAAGTGAAAACATATATAAACATACTAAAAGAACACAGTAGTACAATTTCAAGAATCTGCACAAAATATGATAACAAGATGCTTCTGCAACCATTTTAGAACCAAAAAAGTAAATGGCATAGCAAAAGGATACAAGACTTTCTGTTGTTCAAAAACCTTGTCCCTGCAATATCAATGAAAAAACAATTAGGTCTCGTTATACCAACTACTGAAATCAATTGTGTTTTCTACCACCAAGTTTTAAGGCATCAACCACAAGGGTTGTGGCGTAGTGGTTGAGGTCCTGGGGGATGTGGCGAAATATCCCATCTGGGCAGGGTTCGATTTCAGGCATACACAACAATTATGGCCACTAAGTTTATCAGGGCCGATTTCTTGAAGTCACAATTTGTCGGGATTAGTCTATGCATAGCTTGGGACACCCTTCCAAAAAAAATTAAGGCATCACAAAACAGTGTACAATAGCATATGAGGACCTCAAGTTTGATCAAAGGACATTCATTCTATTGTTTCCCATTTCTCTCGGAAAATAATATAAGGGTCCGCTTGTTAGCAGCTTAATGAGCTTAATGGGACTCGCAACTTATTCGGTAAGCTATACATTAATGTTTGAAAGTGGCTTGATGATACAGAAAGTGACTTCTTCAGTAAGCTTCTAGGGGGGAGTTTATGTAGAAAGCCAAGTTTTTTCCAAAACCCCACCCCTCCCAATTTAAGAAACATGTTCCATCTATAAAAAACCCTCCCAAACAAAGACCTTCTCAATCTATACAGATAGATTAATCCACACAGGCACAGACAACTTTATCCATACAAGACTTAATGGAAAACCAACCAAACAGCCCCTAAGTAAGCTTACAAACATAATACTAAAAGGATGCACCAATGAGCTTCAAAGAAACTGCTGTGCAGGCATAGCTAAGCCATCTGCTTCCCAAAGGTGCAGTTCAATTGCAAAGTTAAAAGTTAGAAACATACTTGGAAAGATACACCCCTTGGAGAGAGGGGGAGAGATGCACTCAACACTAATGAATGCAAAAATAGCACGAATGAATCGACTTCATTCCAGAATATAATTTCATGGAAATTGAATAGGCATGCAGGTTAAAGTGAGACGATATGGGTGTAGAAAGGGAAGTTACAAAGATATCTCGAACGTTCATATCCAAAGTCCTCGATAAAAGTAAAACCTGAAAGGTAAAAAGTAAAGACCAAAGCAGAAGAAAAGGGATGTGGAAGTCGATGTGCAATAGGCAGAATCAGGCATGACTCTATCCTCAGAAAGCCAAAATCTTACCATGGTTACATCAAAATAGCAACGTCAAATAATACCTACATGGCACTGAAGAATAAAAACTTGTACCTTTCAGCAATGGCCCGAACAAGGTCAGGTTTCAAGCGTCGGTCAACAAATTCTTCGAATCTTTGTATTTTTTCTTCCCTGAGTCTATCCATTTAAGGGGCTACAATAGTTTGAACCAAATCAAGAAATCTGCATATATAACTCCACAACTTATCAAAAAGATGTAAAAATTGAAGCACTCATGGCTTGCATTTGAGACACAAGGTGCACTCCTGGCATCTCCAAAGACATACTCCTGCTTCAATTCAATTCAGTAGGGTACACAAGTTTATACATACATACATATATATATGTTACACAACTTGTACAAACATCTCAACAATTTCTGTTATAGAAGGCAGATTTCAACATAAAAAATAATCAATATGATAAACTTAAAAGAAATATTTCAACAATTGAAAACTTGAACATAAGATATTGGGTGAGGGACTAAATTGCAGTATACCCTAAAAATTAAAATTGATGGACTAAATCACAGTACACCTAAAATTTGACTTACCAAGAGCGACAGGTGAAAATTTCTGAATTCAGATTATCACAATTGTTGAATCGCACACATGGGTTTTTCTGGAAGGCAACGCACAGTCACGATCGCACATACAGGCTTTCTGTCCTGGAAGACAGTGTACACAGCTGTTCGCCAGATACAGAATGATTAAGAGGCTTTGTATAGTGCAGAATGAAAAATGATTATTTGGTATATATTCTGAATGGACAGTCTGAATGACAACAAATTACCATTTTACCCTTCAGTATGATGTAATGTTGAATGAAATAAAGTGTTTGATAAGTGCTCCGAACTAATAAATTACAATGCAAATACACAGCTCCATTGGCCACACAAGATTGATGAACACCGGACTAATTTGAGGGATATAGAACTGTATTAGACATCAATTGAATGTTTACGATATGGTTCCTGGCTTTCGAGACGCCAAATTCTCTCCAAGGCTCTCGCCCAAAACAGACAACAAACTGATCAATCCCCTCCTACACTCATTGATTCCTATTTATATACTTCTACTACTGCATTACATACTTCTACTAATGTTTTTCCTACTTGTAAATTCCTACTAAAGCTGGCCCTCATTGACTATTAAACTTCCTAAGTAAACCAGCCTTGTGTATTGACTAGTCAATACCCAGGGTATAACAAAAATCTACTCTAGCTTTAAATTGTACATGCATCCAATATGCTGGATGACAATTTGGGGAAAAGAACAATTCAGTTGCATTAGAATTAACAACATTCTTATACATAAGATAAGCTTTATGAGATCATAATTTTATATCATGCAACTAGCCAATATATCCACTGACAACACTAAAGTGACAGTTCAACCCTTTTACCCAAACTACCTGTTCTTGCAAAGGTTTTTTGCAACAAAAAGTGAAAGTTCAAAGAGTTAACCAAAGTGACCATGGCAATTGCACGAATGTGAATTTTTTAGTATGAGACCTTGATTGTTTTTTAAAGTCCTGAAAAGAGAACCACTAATAGCACATTGATGGATCCATGAATCCTACAAGCTGCTAACATCCGAAGCTAAAATGTTGGTATATCACATATTATACATAATACCAAATTTTCCTCAAGACACCTAAAGCACATGTTGTCTTGGGAATCATGTGAGGATCACTTTGACGAATGCAGTCAACTCAATTGTGCATTGACCTTTCAACTAATAAGCGATAGACCCACTTCCTTATTAGATTACACCATTTCATCATATTTATATTACCAAATGGTTGGTATTTAACCAATCCAATACTAAACACAAACATTCCCCTTCTCTTTCCCCGAAAAACTAGTGTATTTCATTCTTGCCATATGAAATACACCACAACAACAGCTACCAGCCTCTGTATCACACTCCAGAGACTTTTACTACAATTTCGATCCATAAAAATGAACATAGGATACCTTGTCATAAGATGTCGAAAGAAGAAGCCCATGTGCCTAAAAAAAATTTGCTTTAAAATAGAGAAACAAGCGTTCTTCATTGACGAATTTTATCAAACAGTTGGTGTTCAAACAAAAAAAAACAAATAGAATCCAAGTCAAACATTACTTCAATTTCACACCACCGACACCAGCAGAGCTTCATAAATACTTAAAAACGATTAATCAAATATCTTTTATAATACCAGTTTGGTTTCATAGAATATGAGCTAGAAGAAACCTTAGACCCATCAGGAGTAAACAAAGGATGAAAGGGTAGAGATTGATAACCAGATGCAAGATTGATACCTGTTAAATTGATCAGTAGCGAGAGTAGTCAGAAGGAGTGAGCCGAGATTGATACTAAAATGTTAAAGGACGATATTGACGAGCAAAAATATCGCTCTGAATGATATGGATGTCTGCCGGATACTCAAAGGAGGTTAAAGTTTTGCCAAACAATCTGAGCATCTGACCGATTCAGACGGAAGGTCAGATAGAGAGAGGCGATTTGGTTTATATTTTAAGTTGTGGTGAGAATTTGGAATTCTATCTTTTAAGGTGTAACCTAAATTTCTTAGGTTGTAGTAAGAAATTCTAATTTATTTTTATTATTATATTTAATAAATTAAATAAACGGATTCAAATTCTTGATAGTCAATTAAACGTATGATCAAATATAATTAAATTTCATTTTAATTCTTGTAAACCAAATGTTACCTAAGAAAGAGTTAAATAAAAAAACCCAACAAAGTTTCACATTTTGAGTTACTAGAAGGGTACTCGCACAATGCAACGAGATATATCTTGATTTTAACGTTTCGTTTTATATTTTAGGTTTATCAATGTTATAATGCGATTTTATGTGGTTTTGAGAAAAAGAAAATGTTTTTATTTTTGAATTAAATATGAATTTACAGATATTATAAAATTTTGATAAAAATAAGCAATATTAGTATCAAATTAACTATTTAAAAGTTTTTTTTGTGTGTAATTTATTTAATTCAAAATTTTATTATGATCTAATTGAATTTTAAAAACGAATTAATTTATTTTTGGTTTAATACAATAATTTATTTAAAATAATAATTAAATATTCTGTTAGAATTCAATGATTATCTTAATTATATTTTAGATATTTTATAATTAAAATGAGATGTTTATCCTTTAATACTATGTTTATCTGCAGTTAGTTACACGAATTCAAACATGAAGCTGTAATAAGTTGTACTTACGCATAATTTACTTGTAATCTTGAATTTTAAGTAATATGCATCAATCAACAGCACTTCATGCATAAAAAATGGTTTTTAAAATTTTTTATCAAATGCTTTATAATATAGTATAGATTAAGTCTTTATTTTTTTTAACAAATAAATCCTAGACTTTTCTTAAATCAAAAAAACAAATTCTTAAACTTTTAAAACCAAAGAAACCCATCAAATTTTCATACATGGAAATTGAATGACTAAGGGGACGTTTACCAAACACTTACCCAGTAAACACTTACCGGTAAAGTTTAATATTATCATTTACTTATCGGGTAAGATTTTAGTCCACCAAAACGATATCGTATGCAACAATTTATCCGGTAAGTGTTTACCATGGTAAAAGTCGTCGTCATCACTTACCAGGTAAGACTCTTGCTTTTTGTCTCGCTCTTACCGGCTAAGATTCTTGATCCTTACCATATTCATCCGGTATGATAATGTGACTTAGTATTCACTTACCCGAGTAAGCGTTTGGTAAACACCCCCTAAGTTCCTTTGACATTTTTTGAGCAAAGTCCTTGAACTTACAAAACGAAAGAAATATATCATTTCTCTATCAGTGTATTAATAAACTAATAAAAAATGATTATATATCATTTTCATCATTCATTATTTATTTTTCAAATTAAAATGAAAATATAGAAAAAGTTATTAATTATTTATTTTTCATATTCAAATGATAATCATAATGAACACTTGTTATTGTCACTTGGATCTAAAAAGTAATCAATAAAAATGGTGTGCTTTTCGCTTTATTGGTTTGTTGTACTTTTCTACTGATTTGTTGATACATAAAAAAAAATAATGGTGTATTTGTCTTGTTTTATTTGTTCAGAAAAATATTAGGGTCTTAATATTAAGGGGGTGTTTGGGATTGCTTATTTAAAACAACTTATGTTTTTTTACAAAAGCACTTATCAACTTATTATAAGTCAGAAGGGTTTAACTTATTCAAAAACTTCTTATTACCGGTTTGGCACCGGTATAAGTTGTTTATCCAAACACTCAAAAGTTTTTATTACCGGTGTCACATCATAATAAGTCAATAAGTTGTTTTTATAAGCAATCTCAAACACCCCCTAAAAATATGAAAGTTTTTTTTTTTGGCTTTTTCTTAATAAGTTCAAGAATCTATTTGTTTGATTTCTGGAACTTCAATTGTTCAAACATTTATTTGTTTCTAAAAAAATCTTAGAGACTTAATAAAGAATATGAAATTTTGTTGGATTTTTTAAAACTTTTTCCCATAATAAAAATAAATATTTTTGAGTTTCATGTTTTCTGTATTTTAGAGAACATTATAGAAAAGTTGTTGGAGCAATATAAAGAATAAAAAATTATATTTTCTCTATTTTAAAGAATCTGTTAGAAGATTCTTTAAATAACATCATATTCTTCAAAACGGAGAAGTTGTTGAAGATGTACCCACAATTTGTCCTTCGAGATTTTGATTTTCTATTTCGAAGAATCTGTATTAAAGATGCTCTTAAAACATCTACAACAGCTTCTCCCAAAATAGAAAAAATGGAAATTTTATGTATTTTTTTTTGGCTTTTTCCTGATTTTTTTTGCATGAATAAAAAAAGTTCAAAAAAAGACCTAACAAACTTTCATATCTCTTGAAAATTTTCTAAAACATTAACACACAAACAGATTTTGTCGGAAAACAACAGATGTATCCATAGCCTTCCTGTGTGGTCTGCTGATGGACGATGATGTTGTAGGTCGGAGCAGATGAGGAGAAGGAGACGACGGTTGGTGAGCGGCAAGGCAGAGGGCGGATGATGGATATTGATTTGTTTGAAAGGTTTCACCTTTGGATTTGTGTTTTTTTCCCGTTTAAGGATGGAGGCAATGTGTTGAGGGAGGAGTGGTTATGGAGAGGGGTAGTTGAGGAAAGTTAATAGTTGAATACAAATGACACATGTTTTGTAGTTGAGTGGTTTAGCCATGAGCTGACTGAATAAGCCTATACCGAACAACTAGACATGGCTGTGCGAATAAGCCATATGACTTATACAGTCCATTAAGTCGCAACCGAACAACCCCTAAGTTCCTTAACCTTTTTTGAACAAAGTCGTTAAACTTACAAAACGAAAGAAATATATCATATCATTTCTAAAAAATACTAGAGACTTAATAAAAAATATATAAAAGTTCTTTGGATTTTTTTGATGCAATATTCTCATACTTTATCATTTTAACCTATTTAAAAAAACATTATTAAAATAATAACGATTTAATTTTATTGGTAGAATTAAATAAAACAATCATTTATCTTTCCATCCATTAAGTTTTGAATAATTCATCTAAACTCGGAGTTTTTCATGTTTTCTCTATTTCAGAGAACGTTATAGAGAAGTTGTTGGAGCAATATAAAGAATAAAATCTTCTTTTTCTTCATTTTAGAGAATCTGTTGAAGATATTATAAATAACATTATAATCTCTAAAATGGAGAAGTTGTTGAAGATGAACCTAAATTTTGTTATTCAAAATATTGATTTTCTATTTTGGAGAATTTGTGTTAGAGGTGATCTTAGGACATCTCCAACAGTTTTTCCCAAGATAGAAAAAAATGGAGATTTTATGTGTTTTTTTTTGTTTCAACAGATTATTCAAAAAGAATAAAGTAGGAAAAGAAACGAAAATTTATTTAAATATGGAGAATTCCCTCAAAATGATTACTGATGAGTGAGAAATAATATTTTATTATTCCTACTGATAAAAGCCTTCGAAATCAGATGTATAAGAAGAAAAATTATTTATTTTATTAAATATTTTAATGATATAATTTCTAAAATGAATAATCCGTAGAAAATAAATACAATATATCTCGGAGATTTCGATTTTTTACTCACAGTTCCATAGAATTACTTAACGACCGTTTACCAAACGCTTATCCGTGTAAGTGCTTACTTACTGGGTAAGATTTTAATCCACCAAAATGGTATCAAATGCAACAATTAATTAACTCTGTAAACGTTAGTCATGGTAAGAGTCATCACTCTCACTTACCGGTCAATATTCTCGGTACTTACCTTTGGTTTTACAAGGTAAGTTTCTTGGTACTTATCATATTCATCCGATAAGATAATGTTATTCGATAAGCGCTTACTCAAAGTAAGCGTGCGTTTTGTAAAAGGCCCTTTAGAAATTCTCTTATATTTTCATTTATATATATCTATACTATATTATAAAGCATTTGGCTAAAACTCTTAAAAACTCTTAAAACTCTTAAACTCTTAAAAACTCTTAAAC